AGTGCACACACACAGCAGTACACACACACACACACCGTGAACACACACCCGGAGCAGTGGGCAGCCATTTATGCTGCGGCGCCCGGGGAGCAGTTGGGGGTTCGGTGCCTTGCTCAAGGGCACCTCAGTCGTGGTATTGAAGGTGGGAGAGAGCGCTGTACATTCACTCCCCCACCTACAAACCCTGCCGGTATGAGACTCGAACCCACAACCTTTGGGTTACGAGTCCGACTCTCTAACCATTAGGCCACAACTTCCACAACTACAACAGTATGAGGTACTGACACAGAGTTCAAATGTCCTGTGTAGACAGTAGACAGACACAACCTGTTGCGACGCGGCGGTGTCGTGTCCGGTGTAGACATGGTTCACTGTTCCGCTACTGTTATTACTGTTATTACACTTGTATACAAAACTTCGTATTATGCTTGTTATAGAGTGCGTGACGTCACGTGCACTATACCGCCGGTGGCAGTAGACAACCGCAGTGTGACGCGGTTGTCACGGCGACCGTCACAGCCCTAAATGAAATGTCACAGTTTTGCATTGTGCTTTGAAAAAACGGCAGCGGATAGCCTCGATTTATGCTTTCAGTTTGAATAGAAATCTTATACAGTACAGTTTGTCGATCTAAAATGGTGATTGTGCATTAACAGCTGTCAATCATGTTGGTATGCAAATACGCTGTCAGAACTTATTTACACAGCGCATCTTTTGTTTTGGTCGCGCATGCGGACCTGCGGACCACTTATGTGAACCCCTGATAATAACAAACACAAACAAACAAACAAAAAACATTAAATGGATAGTTCACCCCCAAATTAAATTTCTGTCATCAACTGTTTTGGTTACTATTGACATCCATTGTATGAACAACTAAAAATACTGAGACATTTCTCAAATTATCCTCCTGGAGGTAATTTCTCAGCCAAACTTGATGTGTGATTAATTTGAGATAAATTGGATTAATTAATCACCACATCATGTAATTAATTAGATTGAAATTTTTAATCACTTGACAGCCCTATTCCAAATGTATATGAGTGATAGGCTTTTTAGAAAGGAAAATTTAGAAGATAAAAAAGAATTAAGGAGAATTAATACATTTCAAATAATTCACTGCCAATGTGTGAATAATATATAATCTGATTAAGAGTATTTTAAAACGTAATATAATGCAATTACAAATACTCATTTTTGGAATCTGATTACATAATCCAGATTACATAAAATCAGTTACTACCCACCACTGACACAGACATCCACACTTTCTCAGCCAATGAGAAAACTAATCATTGTATGTGAGTTTTCAGGACAGGGTTTTAGAGTGGTTGAAGTAATGGGGACAGTCTAACTGAGTGGATAAATTTGGCAGAATTTAATCTCTCTCGAACAGCAACTTTAATTTTCCAGTCCAAAAAGAAGTGCAGCATTTCTCTCTTTTTGTCGTCAGCATTTTTTGGCCTTGCTGTCTAATTAGCAAATACATCTCCCTGCCATCTCAGTGACCACAGTTTTACCTGGGATCAAGCCTGCAGTACTTTCAGACCACATATGTAATTCAATACATATGTAATGTATATGTAATTCAATGTAATTCAAGCTCACTGCACTTTATATCTTGGTCAGTTCAGCATAACCTCTGCAGTACAGATGTCAGCAGTGCTGTATAAATCCAAAGAAACACTCGACACTCGACCTGGTGCACTCTAGAGCTCAGAGCAGGTCATGATAAAAGCTGAAAACCCCTCACATTATCTTAATCAACGAGTGCTGCGGTATAAAATGGGATGCCTTGAAGTCCTGGTGAGGAGAAACGGTAGGACCTTGTTGCATCTGATTTAATGTTGTGGTAAAAGAACAGCTGGCAGGAAGCAAGTCGATCTCCAATATGATGCTCAACTTCACATCTGATTAGAGCACAGGCACAAAGAAAGCACATCTTATTATTTCAAACCCACCTCAAAGCGCTGTGAGCTGACTTTCTTGCCCTTCTTCATCCAGGTGATTCGTGGTTTAGGCTCCCCGACCGCTTGGCACACGAAGGACGCCACCCCTCCTGAAATCCCTGTCTGATCATCAGGAATCTTAATGAAACTCGGCATGCCTGTGGGAGAAAGAAAGACATTAAGACACTATTACAAATGCAGGAAGGAAAAATCACAGATCTCTTTAATATATCATTTGTTTGCCATAGATAACAGTTAGATAAAATGGAGAACAAATGGAGAGTTCATATTTTTCTCCTCTCAATAACATCAATTGTTTCACTTTTAGGGGTTCAAAAGTAATCTAAATAAATTATTAAAACCAAATCATGAATTTTACTATCCATTTTATTTTATTTTAATTTATTTTATGTTATTTTATTTTACATTTTCATTTGCAATCTGATGGCGAACGCAAAACAAATGAACAAATGAGATTTAAGAGTCATGTCAGAAGGAAAAATTATGAGTGAACAGCGTTTTCAATTTCTTCTCAAACAAACTATCATAAGACTTGAAAAATATGAAAATATAGTGCACAAGTCATACGGACTAAATTTGGAACACTCAAATTTTTGAAGCTTGACAATACAAAACTGGATCTGGATAAGAACTCCTTTTGTGTAACCATGGGTATTATACCTAACTAAAACCATATAAATAGATTTTTATAACTTGAACTAAAATAAATGTTAACTGAAAATAAAATAAAATAAAATAAAATAGGTTTTATTTCAGCCAGTTGCCAATGCAACATTACTCATTTCCACTAAGTTTAACTTGATGTACTAAAATAACCAAAACACTATAATAGACATATTTTTAAAAATACAAAACAACAAGAAAACTGCTACAATTTTAAATAAAATTAAAATGGAAAATAAAAACAATAAAAATGAGTTCCCTAGTATCTCAATGATATTAAAAGTATTAGTATGGGGTTAGAATGACATTCTTGGGTGATCTATTCCTATAAGTCTCCTGAGCTATGCTGGAGCAATCGCTGAGCAATAAAACTGTCCTTGCTAGAAGCGCTGGAACAAAAGCAGATCTTTTAACAATGTCTAAACCCTGCCTTGAGCTAGACCTCCAGGACGGTACAAGTAATGTTCCTCCATGTGCACTGGGTCATGTCCCTCATTGTGAGAAACAATAAATACGGGCAATATGAGGGGAATTCTATTTCCCCTATTGCCTAAGCTCTCCGCTTGGCTGTACTCGAGATAAGAATAAACTGTTTATAAGCCATGAGAGCTTAATCTCCGAGGATGTATCAAAAGCATAATGAAATGCTCTGACAGAATACGAGCCATGGCAACCCAAACAAATTGAGCTCCCCGTCCACCGCCATCCCCTGGTGAAAGCGTGTCTGTAGAGGAACAGAGAGCTGACGGGAACGTAATTAAAGATTCCAGCCATCCAGCTCACCACAGGGAACAACAGATATATCATAACGTGCGCTGCCTGCTTTGTTTACCTCTGTCTCTGGCTACAGATGCATAATGCAAACTGCCGGCCTCGCTGGAGACAACGTCTTCATCTTTTCTTTGGCAGGAACTGTCTTGGTCCCAGTTTCTGTCCAGGGGACCTTGTCATTTTGCCTTTCTCTAATTCTCTGACTCTCTCTCGCTTCACGGCACTGATGTCAGCAGAATTGATGTCATTATGGTTGCCCTCGCCTGATGCAGTGTGTGTGCAGAATGAGGTTTATGGCAACTTTCCAAAAGACATTAATTATACCACATACTCATACACCCATCAGCTAAATTAGGACACACTACTTCTATTGTTTTACACAAGGCTAATTATAAATACCATAGACTAGGGTTTTCTACAGAAATGGGAGTAATTGTGATGTGTATATATATGGATTATTAACTTAATACTTTTATTCAGCAAGGATGCATTAAATTGATCAAAAGTGACACTAAAGTCATTTTTAATGTTACAAAAGATGTTACAAAGTTTCATGGTTTCCAGAAAAATATTACGCACCACAGTTTTCAACAGTGGTAATAATGAAAACTGTTTCTTGTGCAGCAAATCGGAATATTAGAATAATTTCTGAAGGCTCAAGTGACAATGAAGACTGGAGTAATGATGCTAAAATTTCAGCTTTGCATCACAGCAATAAATTCCGTTTCAAGATATATTGAAATAGATTTTTTTTAAATTGTAATATTTCACAATATTGCAGCCTTGGTGAGAATAAATTAATGAATGAGTAAATAAATAATATATAAAAGAGAAACACAGTCTTATTCACACCTCAATACGATCGGTTCTGTATATTCGCATCAGCCTCCCCTGAAACACCTGAGGTCAAACTTCCTCTCATGACTGATTTATCAGCTGGCCGCCCTGCCTGATGACCTCTGACCCTGGATGTGTCACACAAGACAGGCATCACAGATTCACAGTCACACAAGGCTCTTTGTGCCTGCTAGCATGCTGAACTCCTGCAATATTTACCGAGTTGACTTTCATGTGTGTTCTTCAGGCAGTGCAAAGCAATCTGCTGCCAAGGTTTCTGCCCTCGCTGTACCTCACCAAAACACAGGTCACTGAGGTTTCTGAGCATTTTCATGTAATCTGCCAATCAGAGATGTACAAATAACACTAGTTCCATCTCAGCATTCCCATCTTTTCCCCATAAATGACATCCACTTTGAGTTTGAGTCAAATCTATTCTTCCATAATGGACTGTCAATTTGCATGAACATTCCGATTGGACAATTTATATTTCACCTTAAGAAACAACTGCCTAGAAACATCTCATGTAAACAGGAGTTCATGCATGATAAAAAAGCTCATGCATGATGCAAAATGATGTTGTCTAGTCATGACAACAGAAGCTGTGGTCTGATATGCCATATAAATACTTCATTACAATCTCATGATTTAATCATAAAAAAAATTAATCGGAGCTTTAAAGCAATCCACAGGCTCAAAAACACCAGCATTTGATTCAAATTAGTGTTTATATATGGACAAAACCCAATGCAACTGGATCAAAGTAGCAGAGACAACCACATTAGCCTCTTTGTAAGAACTACACATTCTTCTGATACTGAACCTGCTTAACCCATTAAGACCCTAAACATACTAAACATACACATGGCATGTTAATGCAAACGCTTCTAGCTAATGAACACAAGCATGGTTTGCATTGTGTTTCAAATGTTTCAAAAGTACAAGTTGCATTCTCAGCTATACGCCACAAAGAGTACCAAATACAGTGAGCATAACATACATAAGATATCTTTCTAATTCGGCTTAATTACTATCAGGGTGGAACAAGAAGACAACCTTGCTGAACATTATGGTATGTTTATAGTTAGCTAGCTGAACACTAATTATACACTAATAATAACATTATTAAACGAAAACAATAATATTTGAAAGTAATTATCACCTCCTTGTGTACTTGGGTTACACGCATTAACATGCAATAACACAGTTCTCTTCATCTTTATTCACTAGTTAGTTCTCTAGTGATCTAGTAGTTCTCTGTTATAAATGTACTGTATATAAAAAAAGGAAATTCTATCTTTATACCTACAGAACTTCATAAAAAATAAATAAAATAAGTAAATAAATTAATATATATTTATATTTGGCATTTGTGTGTACAATTTGTAATGTTTTTCATAGGGTTTCCATGAAGGTTTTGTTCATGATAGAAATAACTAGTGACATGAGAGCAGCAGAGTGACAGTCTTAATTTTCAAGTCAAAGTCTTATCTAAATGTTCCTCCAAAACCAATCTACAGGACTTGATCAGATATTTCAAATTTATTTCATCATAACTTTCATTTTTCAAGATTTTATTTAGTTAAAATTGCCTTAATTTAAGAATCACCCAAGAATGTGTGTTAATTATGTAATGGGCCTGCATGTTCACAGTGCACAGGCCGAGCAGTCACAGCGATGAGCAGCCGACCACAAACACGCCACCCAAATCCCTCGGCCTAGTGCGAGGACACCGTTAATCTGCCCGCTGACAGATCACAGGATTAATGAGTATCAACAGCTCTGAAACCAGATGATCAGCTGCGCCGCGCTTCGCCTGTTTATTCTACACGTCAGGGAGGATCAGTTGTGAGACACACTGTTTGCCACTTAATATTGGTGCTAATTTAAGAGCTGCGATTTCACCATTTGGAAGTGTTTAACTCAAACTTACCAGATCTGACAGGAAGGCATAATAACTGGAAGAAAACGCAAAATACACAAACAGCAGATACATTTCCTTCCACACAGCATAATGCAGATAGCCACTCCCTTACAGATCTGCATGAAGTGAAATAAACTGACAGCATCCAGGAAGTCAGTCTCCTGCCCTCTGTCCCTAAACATCAAGCAGCTCAACATCGATCGAGACGCAGCAGCCCAACCATTTATTCTCATTAATTATGGATGCACGGCTTACCTCCAGTCGAGCTCTCGCTTCATGTCTGCAAAACAGAATCTGAACTGGGGACGTGTTAATATGCCCAACACCAGTGCAGTTTGTTCAGACACACTGTACTCTTTTTGATGTTGTTTGTGACTGTCTAATAGGAAGAACTTAGTCAACATAAACTCCTTGGCATCTCTGTGTTTGAATGCTAGTTGCATGCAGCACAGGTTATTTTCTAAAATAAAGTGCATGGATAAGACTACAACCCTCCATGCACACCTTGGCAATAGAATCACCATTGGCGAGTACATTTTTTAGTTGTGAAAATATATCTGGGCTAAACTTATGCTCAGCTTCTAACTGGCGAGTGAAACCAAACAATTTATTATCCAATGCTAAAGACAGACATTATTTAGAGTGATTTACTCACATTGTAGAGTGTTGTACTACCATGAAACAATGTTCACTGAAAAACGGATAGTAAATTCAACAAATATGAATGAAACTTAAAATTTTGAAGCAGTGTAAAAACGTACTGCAATAATGCTTATTTACTTCTAAAAAAAAAAAATATATATATTATTATTTTATTTTATTTTTTTACGTATAGCAAAAAGCATTAAGAAAGCAAATAGGATTCTGTGTTTAGTATTTGCCCTCAGTGAGCTGATCTGAGTTGGTCAAGCCAATCTTTAGAGTGAAACTCAGCGTTTATAA